AACCAACCAACCAACAAACAAACCAAACAACAAACAAACAAGCAAACAAAACAGTGCGTGGGTCTCCTGAAGAATCACCGAACCCCCAACTGGCTGTGGGTCATGGCACCGGGAGAACCAACCGATTTGACCAGCGGTTTGACCGACCGTTCCGAACGTGTGCATTGGGTGATATCCCATGACCAGGGCCCAGTCGATGGTTGGTAAAGGCCTGACCGACTGCTACTGTTTTACTGGGACACGCTGACACACCCGAGTTGTAATTTGTGTTACAGGGATCATCACCACCTGAGCCCCTGACTCGTGACAGTTGGAAGGCTTCTGATCGAGAGTCTCACCCGTCTCATTGTTCACCAACACGATGTCCAGCTGCGCACTCTTCATGTGCATGGTCTTGTTTGCGAACTTCTGCCTCAGTGGCGACTGGCAGCCGTCACGCCCACTAAACCTCTGGCCCCATGCCCCTGGGGTTTGTGATGGTTTGTGTCACCCCGGACCGAAATCGAGACCCCAGCATTCTACAGAAGCATCTATATAATATTATAATCTATGAGCTCGCGATCGAGATTGGACCAAAACACCTCCGATCGTCCCGCCGCGCTCACTTCGTCCCGTTGTCGCACGATCTGACGACGATCGTGGCGGAATGACTTCGGGCCACCAACGAGCGAGCGAGCGATAGATGCGGAGAGCTTGGGTGTCTTTTGGTTTAGTTTAGTATACGGTTTAGTTCATTCGTGGTTCGCATCCTGAAGAAATGCTAAGGACCGTGACCGAAATCATACCGGCCCTTACAGCCTCTTGTTTTGAGCTTAAAAGAAAAGAACACATGAACAAAACAACACATTAAGTGCTTAAACAACAAAACAAACAATGAAAGCACCACAAAACGCCATACCTTTCATCGTCTGGCTCCGCCGCACCGAACCGCCGATCAACTCGGCCTCCATCCGACGATCAACTCGGCCCAAGCTGCACGATCTCTTGCGGCAAAGCCTTGGGCAAGACATATCCTCAGTGACTGGGGAGGGGAGGGGAGGGGAGGGGCCACGGCACGGGTGAAACGGACGAGCAAGTTACAAGCCCCAAGAAGGGTGACGAGTCGAATTCTTACATCGAACTGGAATAAATCTGTGGAGCAAACCAAATACTCCAATGTAATTATATAGGCAAACATGGTGTATATATTCCATCACCCGTGGATGATTCAGTTGCAGGCCGACACCTCCAAAAGGGGGTCCTAGTTCACTGGGACAGCGCCAGGCACAGATGGATGGGTCAAGGGGGGTTTCACCCCTTGGAGTGAAGACAAAAGCCTGGCCCTGGCTTTCATGGTGCTACTCTTTGAAAAAGAAACACACACCTCCGACCTCCCAGTTGGATTGAACCCAAACACATATCTTCGGAATGGGGGTGCTTTGGCAAAAGCTTTTGGTCAATTCAGAGCCTACATGAGCGGGTGGAGTTGCAAGACGGGGTGGTGGGAAATAGTCGTCCCAGCTGGTGTAAGTGGATGTTCTGCACGCCCAACGACTTCCTCCGTTCGGAACCAACAACCCTTTAAAAACGGGAGTTCCCGAAGATATACACTAGGACCCACTGGAGTTGGGTGGTTAATGGACACCCCGAATCAACTCTAAGGGGCTATCAATAGACACCCCTTAGGGCCTTAGGGTGTCCTGGTAGTTGAATGACTGCACTTAGCAACCATTTCCGGTTCTCTCCAGGAGATGGATATAATCACACCTCCGGGTTGGACGTGGCCAGACTTCGAGCACTGGACGAGCTCTGGAAGATGCGCCTGCCTGGCTGGACATTCCAACCATCTTCGAAACACCAAGCCATCTGAAGCCATCTGAGGCCCGAAGTCCTGAAGCCAACTTTGGGCACGCAATTCCTGAAAATCGTAGAAACATGTATTCTTCTGACTCGTCCATAGCACCCACCTCCACCTCCACCTTGTCACATGCCTGTTTTCCCCGACCCGCCGAACCACCGAACCCGCTGAACCACCCAGCGGCCGCTGTCCAAAACCAACGCGCCGTACCAACAAAATCCCCAGTCCCAGCATCGGTTGTGGACTTCACCAGGGCGGAGGAAAATCGGATCGGAGTAAACCACGAAACGCTTCAGCTCAGAAGCCCCTGGAGCGCACAGATTCCGGCGGTGCGCGGGTCGCATGGCGCGTGAGGGTTCTGCTTGGGGCAGCAGGGGCGCAGGTCTCGTGTGCAGGGAAGAAGAAGTCAGTTTTGCCTTGGGTCCATTCCATGACCCATAACAGTGGATGATGATGGGGCCTGGTTGTCTCGCACAATAGTAATGTTAACTATGTTTACTACTGCTACAGGAGTTTGCTGTTGACATCACTATTTTGGACATACTAGTGACACTGTTGTTATATAGGACAAACCCAAAGTTTGCCCTTCTGCGAAAACGGTCGCAAGATGCATCAAGCTGGAGTGGACCTGTTCGTAGCTTGGAAAAAGGGCTACAAGTACCTGTGTCATTGCATGGGCATGTCCCATGTTCAAGGGTACTTGAAGTCAGGTGTGGGATGGTGAGATGGTTTGAGGATTTGAAGCATCGTGAAGCCTCGTGAAAGGGGTAAAGGATCCATTGGAGACTCCATCTTCATCTAAAGCAGAAACACCATGGAAGTGCAAAGGGATGTTTGACTGTGTTTGACCATGTTTGACAGCTACGGTCAAGACCTGTGCTTTCACCACGCGACCTCGGTCCCGCCACGTGCGACGCGACGGCACCGACCTACGATCCGCAAGGACAGCGAGACGAGCGCCGCAGCGACGAAGCCTCGGGTGCACGGCGACTCGGTGCGGATCAGTACGCGGCTTGGGCAGGAGCGGGCGGGGCGTGAAGCGTGTGGATGGATGTTTTTCTCCACCGCAGCCGTGGCAGCCACGGGAACAAACACTGCAGGGGGTGTGGTAGGTGGGGGAAGACACCACGTTGAGAACGGGTCTACGAGGGGATGGATGGTCTTCGGGCGGAAAAGACGAACTCGGAGTGAAGGAATCACCACATGCCTCGGGACTGACATTTTGGGATGGGATTGACATTCCAAAGAGGAGAAACCTCCCAAGTATGGTCATTTTTTGGTGCGAAGGTCTTCCCATCACATGAGACAAACGCAAAGCTGATCATAGTTGTAGTCAATGCCTTAAAACCTTGATTCCAACATCCAGGTATGCATTCTGTATCCCCTGCCAGACCTAGAATGGTCTCTCAGGACTCTGTGCAAACATTTAGGATCATTTAGGATAACTGAGGATATTAATCCCGAATTCCAAACAAATGAGCCAATGACCCTGCCTGACACTTTGCCTAGAAAAAAACACACGGATCGTGTTTTTCCTGAACTCCCATTGAAAGAATGCGGTTTAAGACAATTTGTCAGGCGATGATCCACTAGATATGATATTAGTCTTCCCCAACGTGTCCGCGTCCGTGTGGCGCGTGGTTTGTTCTTGCAATACATCATGTGGCATGATAGCCACGCCAAAAAAACAGTGAAACAGACCGCTCTCAGTGGTATCTGCTGGCGTCCAGTGTCAGAGAATCCGTTTTGGGGCAAGGGGTGCAAAGGGCACCTTAATGGGGCGCGCATGTCTTGCAGGTTGACCTGGCGTCCAGTCGCGTCCTGTTCAGTCCACCGGTCGACCGTCCACACTTCACGTCGCCCACTTGGCTGACGAGAACAAACCCTGCGAAAGCTCATGGCGACAACACCCTGTTGGTATCTCTTAGAGGAACATGGTCTTCTGTCCTGGGCCAGAACGCCCACCTCCACGAGGACTCTCTTTTAGGGAGAGTATAGAGAGACCTCGCGCACCCTCGCGCGATCCAGCGATTCGCTCGCGCCAACAAAACCGTCCCAGTGGCGAATGGACATGTTGCCAGTCACTTCGCAAACAAAATGCCACAAAAACGGCGGGCAATGAACCAAACGGCTGCGAGAGTGGCTATGAGTTGCTTTTCGCCGGAGTTGCTTCTGGCATCGATTTGGAAGTGGAAAAATGCTTTGCACCATTTTATAAGCCTTCTTCAGGTGAAACATCCTTGCACGGGAGACGAGGGGTGAAACATCCTTTTGGGGTTTTAGCCGCAACGGTTCGACGCGACAAAAGAAGGCCGGTCGTATTCTGGCTGCAAGCCTGGATAGGATCCTGGAAGGTAAATGCCTAATATAGACTCTGGACTCTTGATTATATATATAACCTTGGATTGAAAAACCTCATCACGGTTTTATGGTTTTATAATATGTGTATATATAGGTTCATTCATCAAGAGCCTCCACGTCCCGGACGATCAAGTCCCGGCATGGTCTGGAAAGCAAACATCCATAAACTCTCCATGTATGGCTGCCGGTATGGCATAAAACCTTTTTTCATGGTTTCTATGGCTGCCGGAAACTCAACTCAACAAGCCGCCAGGCGTCCGCGCCTGCCTCCTTCACACCGGCGGTGCTCGGTGCTCAATAGTTTTGGACTTGCGTGGTCTGGCGCAGTGTGGACTCGCAGGCCCGACAGGAGAATGGAATGGAAAGGAATGGGGACTGCAGGGTTTCGTGTGGTAGGCGCTACATCTTGGTAGCGCATAAATAACACCCCTAACCATCCTCACTAATGATGGCCATCAGTTCTACGGCCTTGCTGCCGGCAACGTGTCATGTAGTCAAAGAGAATCAACTCAGTCGCCAATCGAATACTTGTTTTTGAATAGAGAGCCCAGCAAGCATATTCCACAGAAGGTGATTCACCGATAGGAACAAACAACTTTAGTAAGGAAACCCAGGAATTATGTACCTTGCTCAGCTCTCATGGTGGTGCTAATGTTCCTTTGGGATGTGGCTCAAACAATAAGACACAAAGCCCCCCGCTTCCTTTTAGACATGTAGACTGTTGATTCATAAACCCTTCCCTTCGGATTGTAAATCCTCTACCGCTTCATCTCGGAGGGCGTTTTCATCGAACTGTTCGTCAATTTTCATCTAACCGTCTCTGCAAAAAAGCATCTTCCATTGTCCAACACCTTCTTTGGGGGGCTCGAGACCGCCCATGACTCAACCACGAGCATTTCTCTACTCCAAGTCTCCCAATTCTCGTCCCGACTCTTCCAGCACTGCCGGTCCCCCCCTGCCTGGGTTTTGGTGGGCTTCACCTGGCAACCAGAGTGCCATGACTTGACGTAGTGGGCGAGTTGCGTGGCGAGGTTGCTGTGATTCGGGTTGGAATTGGTCAGATTTGGGGATGTCAGTCACTTTAAAGCCAAGCTGAACAAAGACCCCCCAAAGACATCCCCAAAATAGAATCCCGAAAAATAGATGACTTTGTTGATTGATCATCTCACTGTCACCCAAAGATAGACTCACC